GGCCAAGTTTAACGTGGGTTTCTCCGAGCCCGTAGGCTCGGCTAAAAAATATTCCCTTATAACCCGCATAAGCGGCTTCGGATCTGTCTACCCCGGACGAAACTTTTGCCCTTCGGCAAAGCTTGTCTGGGTTCCTCTCTGCCAAAGCAGAGAGTTCGACAGAAGTCGCACACACTCAGAGACTGCGTGTCGACTGTCTCTCTAAGAAGTCTCGCAGGTTAGTATTTATGAAGGAGGAAGAGTTCATTCTAATGTAGATAGGTCGCCATAACAGAAGCAACGGTGCCGACGTAGCTGGAATAGAATCTATTTTCCCGAGGAAATAGATATGAAATAAAATTTATTGCCAACTTCCATTGTTAGCCACTCTAATATCTCAGTAGTTCTCAGCCAAGTGGGTTTTAAAATAAAATTGGATTGGTAGATTCAAACACTTGGATTATTGTTCCAGAGGTAAACTACAATTCAACAAGGCAAATTTTGAGTTAAACAGTCTTAACGTTGGGTAATCATGTTCTAAATATGCTTGTAGGTTATCTCCCTTTTTGTTGGTCATCGACCTTTGGTCTCGTGACGACCGGTGAGTGACATCAGTAGATAGCAATTGCTATTTATCACGCCTGGAGACTAGACGTGTATGCCCACACCGCTTATGTAGGCTGTGAAGAACGTGAAGGTTACAAACCCACAGCGGTAGAGCATACAGAGAAAACCACATGGTCTCAAAAGAAACCTAAAGGATACCATCGACCTGCTCCTTTCTTTTCCGTTGGGAAATATTACAAGTAAGACCAGCTCTCGTTTCGCCCCTTTCACAGTGCTTGTTGCATACATGTGTTATAGTTTGTGTTGGACAAGTTTGTAATAAGTATGTATCAGCATAAAAATATCCCTTTGAGAACAATTCTTGTTTGTCATTCCTCTCTTTCTGTTCCGTCCGTGTATTAAGCTGTTAATATATCATGGATATAATAATGCTTATAATAGGGGAAATGCAAGAGGGAAATATAGCAACTCATGATGGTAAAAGTTATGCATGAACAAAAAGAAAATGAAAAGCACTGTGTTATCTGATGCGTTTCGGGAGTTAGGGTCTACTGGGACTCAGTCATGCAGATAACTGATTGAAAGTTTACATATATTCGTAGGCTTGAACAATCTGTAGTTGCTTGGAGAGGAAAGCAGAAGCTACGGAAAAGGTAGATGACGCTAAGCGCTTTGTAATAGCTGGGCTAGTTTTGTATATATTGTTTAGTTGTCAAGATAAACATATTCTGAATTAATATTTTGCATCTCTAGCTCATCATACAACGAATTTCTTTTTGTTAATGTTTTTAATGAATTCCTACCCATTCAATCAATCACATTATCTTGTTGAATCAAAAGTATTTACTGTGTTAAAAAATTTATTTGTCTTCTTCCAGTGATACTTCCTTTCTTGTTCTTTAGATAACCTTCGAAACCTGAAACTAACCATTCGGCTGAAACTTCTAAAATCCGCGGTCATCATTATTCTTCAACGTTATCACCTTCTTTGTCAATGAATTTTGTTAAGTGGTGAATATTAATTACACAGACTGAACAATCATTTTCCCGCCGTCGTAACACAGCTTCCCTCTGCCTTTTCTACAAATAGGCGATTGTTCTGTTGGGCTTTCCGCTTTGGTACGTCGACTTCATGATTTTAAGCGTAGAACTAGATTGGCAGCTAGGTCTCATCTTTTTACTCTTTTCACATTAATATTTCCACGTTTGAACCTAGCGAACCACCTACGAGTAGTCTCTAAGCTATGACACCATATCCATAAACGGCACTTAGCTTTTTTGCTGTTTGTACAACGTTTTCTTTTCCCCATTTAGAAAAATAAAAGAGCTTCAAATAACGAAAATGAAACTCATTTTTTTCCGTTTTCACTCTTAATGTAAAATGATTTCACGGTCCAAACGCGATTGAGGTCACCTTTTGGAATTCGAAGAACAGACTAGAAATTTAATCATGCCTGCCTTTTTTAAAACTAATTTACTAGCTGACTTCGGGCCGGAGGGACTTTCTCTTCCTGAAGGCCTTCGTCATATATTAAATATATTATGTTTAAAATTGTAATTTTTACTTAATCTACCTAACTGGTTAATGATAATCTTAGGGCCTGCGGATTCTAGGCAACTCACATTCTAAAATATTGGACGCTAAAAATAATCAGTTAAATAGCTTCAGCTTCCCTAGCTTAGTAGGAGTTAATTGAACCAAAGAATGTACGAAACTTACTAATTAATAAATCCAGACGATGGTCCCAAAATTTTGGACTATTGTGTATAAAGGTCATTCCAGTGATGTATGAAACAAAATCACATGTTCAAATGTTACCTACTCAAAAAGCTAAAACATTGGTTCCAATTATATATATATATATATATATATATATATATATATATATATATATTTGAAAGTGATGTCTGAGGATCCAGGATACTTTAAAAGGTCTCTTGTGAAATAAACTGTTACAATGGAGCCTTAAAGTGGTCTGTTTTTCGTTAAATTATTAGCTCTGAATTTACACTGAGCTCTCAAGATTTCATCCCCCTTGGGACTACCCATACGGATTTCCAAGTTTTTCCGTAACAACTATATATATATATATATATATATATATATATATATATATATATATATATATATATGTATGTATGTATATGAAAAATTTCTCAGAGTTAACCTGCAGAAAAAGATAATATTTATAAATGTAAAAGACACAATAGAAAAACTGTAATGGTAACCGACGCGTTTCGTCCAATGTGGACTTTTTTTCAAATGTCCTTAACAACTGGAAGAATTTAGAGAACCCTATTTTCATACTGTTAACTAAATAGCGTTCTCTAAATTCTTCCAGTTGCTAAGGCCATTTTTTGTTTTGTTATTATTAGTTATTTTGTTTAATAAACTCATTTCGTTTCGCCGTGAAAAAGTCCACAGGTTAACTCTGAGAATTTTTTCATATATATATATATATGTGTGTGTGTGTGTGTGTGTGTGTGTGTGTGTGTGTGTGTGTGTGTGTGTGTGTGTGTATGTATGTACATATGTATTGTTCAGATCGTGTTACAGCAGAATTGTTCATCCCACAAACGGTTTAATATCTAAAATCCACTAAACTAACTGAATTTTATTTTTCCAGGTTTTCAGATAAGACGTTTAGCCATCTTGACAATATATATATATATATATATATATACAGATAGATAGATAGATAGATAGATAGATAGATAGATAGATAGATAGATAGATAGATAATCAATCTTACATCGTGAGAGGCTTTATATCCGAAATAGTGGCTTTGAAATTATAAATAGTATATAGTGTCAATTATAACAAAAGTATACCGCCCTAATTGCGTATAAATTTTGATCATTTTCCTTCTGTCGTCATAATCTGCAGGATTAAGTGTTAATATAGAACAAGCCTCACACGATCATTGCATGGTATAAATCCCAGTCGCACAGTTTCAAAGTTAATTGTGTATTTATGCACGATAATGCTCCTCCTCGTGAACCTAAGCTTACTTTGAGCATAACAGATTTACAGGAGAGAAGACAATTGAATGGCCACCATCATGTCCTCATCTGAATCCGATCGAAAATCTATGGTCAATTGCGAAATGAAATTATATGAAGGTAGCAAACAATATAACAGCAAAGCAGACCTATGGAAAGCAATTTAATCATTTCGGAAATTGGGCCCACTGAAGTAAAAAAAAAATAACAAACTCAATGGATAATAGATTACTGGCAATTATTGAGAAGGGTCACTATATTAAAATATAAAGAATACGTCAAATAACTTCAATAAAACATTTTTCTACTTGAATTTTTAACTCATGCATTGTTTTGAATTCTAAATTGATTATTTAAAAATTTTACAATTTTTTTCAAACCAAATGTGAATTATTGAAGTTTATATAATTTGCTTAATAACTTCAGATATGGTATATATATATATATATATATATATATATATATAGATAGATAGATAGATAGATAGATAGATAGATAGATATGAACAGACTGAGATAGATAGATAGATAGATAGATAGATAGATAGATAGATAGATAGATAGATATGAACAGACTGAGATAGATAGATAGATAGATAGATAGATAGATAGATAGATAGATAGATAGATCTTACTTTTTTTATTAATCATTCCACCCCCAAGCAATGCAGGAATGCCACTAGTACGCAGGGGGGTTACAGAGAGTGAAAATGAGAGAAAAGAACTGGGTATAGGGGGAATTGAAAAAAGGAGTAAAGATGGGCGAGGTTCAATACAATAGAAGATGGCGATTGACTTTGCATTTGAGTTTTTGAAGATTGTAGTTTTCAAGGTAGAAAATAAGCGGAAGGGAGTTCCACTGTCGGGAAATTCAAGTAAAGTAAGTGAGAAAGTGACTGAAGTCGAGATTCCAAGTCAGGACCGATTACACGGCAGATCCTTCTTTGGATTTTGTCAAGAACCTCAGGATGAACAGCAGCGTCACTAGACCAGATATGACAACAGTACTCAATGCATGGACTTCTTATAATTATTATGTCATCAATTTTACAAAAGTTTAATACTTGAATAGATTTATGGGTTTCAGACAAAAAAAACATGGCGTCTCACAAAACGTTTTTATTTTAGTGAAACTTTGCAGACAATTTATGAGGGTAAAGATAGTGAGTGAAACGCTCTTCGTCAAAGGGCAAAGCCGAATGCAGGTAACAAGATGGTCTTTCAGTAGATACACATGAACAGAATGAGATAGATAGATAGATAGATAGATAGATAGATAGATAGATAGATAGATAGATAGATATGGAGAAGCATAGATAGATAGATAGATAGATATGGAGAAGCCTAGATAGATATTAGGTTGGTGCAAAAATAATAACGTAAGAATGTCGTTTTTGACGTTAAAAAATACGTCAAAAAACGACATTATTACGTCATTATTTTTGCACCAACCTAATAGATAGATAGATAGATAGATAGATAGATAGATAGATAGATAGATAGATAGATAGATAAAAAGAAAGAAAGAACAGGAATAGATAATATGTACAAATATATAAATAGATAGATAGATAAAGAGAAAGAAAGAAAAGAACAAGATGTGATAGATAGATAGATAGATAGATAGATAGATAGATAGATAGATAGATATGAACAGAATGAGATAGATAGATAGATAGATAGATAGATAGATAGATAGATAGATATTAATACGTGAATGAATTTATGGGTTTCATCAGATAAAAAACCATGGCGTCTAACAGAACGTCCTTATTTTTAGTGAAACTTGGAAGACAATTTATGACGATAAAGATAGTGATTGAAGTTGTCTTCATCGAGCGCAAAGCCAAATGCTGGTCACAAGATGGTCTTTCAGTGGACAGTTATTTCGTTTTAGATTGATTAATATGTTTCTTAAAGCTTATCAACCTTCTGCAGGTTTATTTAAAGCCAGAGTATATTTTTACATTGTCAGACGTTTTCTAGATCATAATGTTACAATTTCTATTAATTAACCCATAGCTGGAGGAGAAGAGATAGATACATACCTTTTTCCAATGGTATTTGCCCGTAATGAACATAACTGACTGGAATTGGAACCCCTCCCCGATTAGCAATTCTGATTACCACCATTACACCAACCTCACATGCAAGCTCACAGCACCTGTATACCCAACCGGTCACCCATCTTGGTACTGACCAAGCTCAACGTCGCTTAACTGATCGTACGAGAACCGATGTTTCAACGTGATATGGTCCTAAGCTCTCTGTGTGTGTGTGTGTGTGTGTGTGTGTGTGTGTGTGTGTGTGTGTGTGTGTGTGTGTGTGTGTGTGTGTGTGCGTGTGTGTGTTATAGCTCATCCACGGTCCTATGAAAATGTTATTGAGATGTACCATTTGTCTAAACTTCAATAAATTTTCAAAATAAATAATAAAATTTCATTTTCTTTCTTTTATTGTTTCTCCGAGATATTAGCTTCAAAATCTTTTATATAAGTTTTATATGCAGAAAATTACAAACAAAAAGCCACCCCCCCAAAAAAAAAACGTGTATATAAAATCAAAACTTCCGGTTTCTTGCTACCCTCCCACCTACGATCTTCAAAAGTTTAAATGCAACGTTTGTCGCCATTTTCTATCTTCCTTGAATCACGTTCGTTTATTGTTCTTTCTCTTTCACTCCCAGTAAACCCTTGCGTCTTAGGGGCATTATCGCCTTGCTTGGGGCGAAATCATTAGAATAAATAATGTTTATAGTAGGATAATAAATCTAAAAAAAATAGTATCTTATAAGAGAATCAGGAAACTAAATATATGACTTATCCCATCCCAACATTTAAATTAAATTTATTTGCCCCTCTGCACACATGCACACCATTTTTTTTATTTTGTGGCATCCTGCCTGTAGTTCAAGCAAATATTAAAACTAAAGATTAAGTGATTACAAATAAAAATAAAAACCACACTCTTAACGCAAAATAGATCTTTGGCAAAGCGAACACGATCATAAAGTTAAAAGATTACATTTTGGCAATTATTTTAATTATTTTATTCATTTTTTTTTTTAATAATAAAATTTCTTTAGTTTTTTAAATCGAGAAAGTTAGAATCTGACTGTATTCATCAATCTTTTATAACCACATAATTCTCTTTAACACACTTTTCTATTTGCAACGTCAAATCAGACATTTCTCTTTACATTAAGGAAACAAGAATGTATTTTCCGACATGCTTTCTGTTTGATGACTAAATGTCCACGAAATTTAGATCCAGGAAGCATTATTAGGTAGAGGTGTGTGTGTGTGTGTGTGTGTGTGTGTGTGTGTGTGTGTGTGTGTGTGTGTGTGTGTGTGTGTGTGCGTGTGTGTGCTAAAAAGTTTCTCATGAAAACACTAATGTTCAACTGTGTATAATAATTTCCTTACAAAGAACACTGGAAACTTTAACACACACACACACCTAATATTTTAAGACTAACAGTCGAAGAAAAATCTTTTTGTATCAGAAACTCACGCCATACTTTTTACATTCATATGTCGTTCAGTTTGTTACAGAAGACAAACATTTAAAATTTGTTAAATTCTCAACAACAAAAAAAGGTTTTCCATAATTAAATCATTTGGAATCTGATGTACTATAATTATGTCACATTTTGAAGGTCGTATCTTAAGCGTTAAGCATTTTCATTAAAACACATCCTATTGCTTGCTACATCATGAAGCTCATTTAATAGCACATATAATAAAACAAGTCGCCATGTTGTTCAAGCTTTATTCATTGACGAAATAAATCGCGAGCATAAGCATGGAACACGTGATCTCATTAAATATTAGCCTCGTTTTCGATCACAGATTCTTCTGTATTTATTATTCGGCGATGTTTATTGGAAAATAAAACAAACCCGGTAGTTTTTTTTTTTTAAATATAAAATGATGAATCACATCTATTTTACATAGTAAATATACATTCTGTCGAGTTATTTTCAATAAAAATCCATATAATATAACGAAATATCTATGCTTCGAGAATAGCGGCCATTATTTTTACGAGAGACCGAAAGCGGACATTTTGACATTCTGTAAGCATTGCAACTGAAAAAAAAAATCATTGAAATTAAGCACTGTGCGACGAATACGCACACGCTTAGGTATGGCATACTGTTAATTGCAGTGATATTTACTAAGCTTAGCTTAGTATGGTTCATGGATGATTGAGGAGAATGGAGATACAACGATTGCGTTGCGCCAAGCTGAGACGACATGCATACTTTAAAAATCAGTATACAGAAGCCTGTTTTAATTATTTTGTTTCGAACACCGTCAACTGGCAAATACTTAAGCCGTTAGGCAAGCCACCAATGCTAATTGTAGCTTTATAAGCCAATGCCGCTCAATAAGCAAATCGTTTCTTTTTCTGAAGTAAACAGCGCAATTTAGTAGTGAAGCCAAAACATCAACCCAATTCATACCAAAAACCAAATTTTAAAATTCACTATTTTTGCAATACCTCCGTTTTCAAGATAATATTAATATTTTTTTTGGCAAACTTTTTTTCCCGGAAAAAAAAAAAAAAAAAAAAAAAAAAAAAAAAAACGGAGTATCAAAAGGACGGTTTTCCCCTTGACACCGCTATTATTATTTTAACTACCTTCACTCCACGGCAATATTTATTGTTTTAAAAAGCGATTATTAGAATTGTAATAAAACGTAAACATGTGAAAGTGAATTTATACATTTTCTTTATTCTTGAGAATTGACAACAAAAATAATAAACATTATTTATTTATTAGATTGCTTATTTACAATATTTATTTATTAGATTGTTTATTGGAATTATTGGCAAAACATCGGCTAATTAACAATTGATTCGAACTTTATAAAATGGTAAATAATAAGGATTTCCTTAGAGGTGCTTCATATATTTTAATAATTTAGTAAATATTTATACATTGATGAATAACAAATTGTTTTGATACATATTTCTTTATAAATTGGTAAATGATAAATATTGCATTAGTTCTAATTGTATTAGGTTTCAGAATGTTGTAAATATAAAATTATCCTTGTAAATAAGCAATCTAATAAATAAATAGTGTTTAATATTTTTGTTGTCAATTCTCAAGAACAAAGAAAATGTATAAATTCACTTTTATATGTGTAGGTTTTATTACAATTCTAATCATCGCCTTTTAAAACAGTAAACATTGCCGAGGAATTACCGCAGTTAAAATAATAGCAGTAACAAAGGGAAAATTATCCTTTTGATATTCCGTATTTTTTTTTGGGGGGGGTGAATGTCTAAGTTTCCTTTTTTTTAATTCATCAATTAAATCCTAAAAATAGCATACAGTTATATTATCTAGTTATTGCTTCTTCGTTTTTTTTTAAGTGTTTTTTTTTTTGTATTCGATAAATAAAAGATCAATTTAAAAGCGAAAATGAAATGTAAAATTAAGACGTTGTCACGTTCGCTAAAGCGGCCATGTTTTTCTTCACAACACATAAATTCACTAATCCATTGAGAATTCCTTTATTTCTAATTTAATTATAAATCTAATGTCTATAATTATTTTTTTTTTTTTAAATGTATTATTGCGATATGGATTTGCTTTAATACTGACCAGTAAAAAGAAACCATATTAACAAAAAAAAAAAAAAAATCACTTTTAACATCCGTTTTAGGATCCGAGGGGTACAGCATCTTTGGGTATCTGGAATTCTTCATCAATCGTGATTTCGCTCGAGAACGAGTTTTCAGACATAGACTGTTCATCTTCGCTGTTGGATGCATCATCATCAGCTGCCCCAGGCGTTGTCATCTCATCACCGTCGATTGTCGCTATACTTTCCGGATGAAGAACATCCCTGATACTGTCCAGAACTGTAGGGTGGGGTTTGTGGAGGCCGCGAATGGCGGCGAAACTTTTTTCCGAGTAAGGCTCGACGAAATCTTTCACGTAAGATGGACAACCCCGGGGATCATGAACACCTTCACCGGACGGCTCGTTCCAGAACGTTCTTTGTGACATCGAGAGCGGCTTTTGTTTATTAAGCTTGATTTCGTCCAGAAGCCAATTGGTCAGCTCCTCAGAGAAATATTTGGAGAACGTCTGCTGCACTTTACTTCTAGAGCGAACGAGGAGCATTTTGGCCACAGTAGTGGGATGTAAGAAGGCTTGAATGGCTCTCCATACACCCTGGAAGACGGGACTGTGATTAAGACAGATCACCATTCCAAGCCGCTCGGGATAATGATTGGACATCACCTGAGTAACGCCATAGCCAAGACGTGGGTTGCACAGTGGGAGACTCAAGCCTGGAAATGAAATTAAAAGAATAATATGAGAAAACTTTACGCAATAATTAGTTAATTTTCTTAATTAAATATAATTTTCTTAATTAAATATAATTTTCTTAATTAAATATAATTTTCTTAATTAAATATAATTTTCTTAATTAAATATAATTTTTTTAATTTTCTTATTACTACTTTTGAATATATGATAAAAACATTTCCAGAATAGAAATTTCTGGCTCAAAATGAGCTCGAAAAATACCGGTAACCTTTAATTTATATGTGATTCTTTGAAATCCAAAGGATAGACCAAAACGTTTGCTCCATAGTGAATGTACCGTAGAATCTCTCATATCTGGAATCCCTCATATCCGGACATGATTTTTATGTCTATATTTGAACTATTTGTGTGATATGCAACTGAATTGAAATTTCTTCTTTTTCAGGAAATTTACTTTGGATAATTGCTCATTCTTATTTCACCCTAATGGCTTGTATTGGTGCAAAAGATGATGGGAATAAGAGGAAAGGATGACAACGAGACAGATCTGCAACAAGATAACGACGAGATGCATGGTTTTGATGAAATATGGACTGAAATTGAAAAAACTATTGAAAAGGTTGTCAGTTTTATGGAAAGAACGCCGGCATTCAGCTATGACGATTGCAATAACGCACAGAGTTAAAAAGTGTCTTTCGTTTAAAAAAAATTTAAGAACAAAAAGCAAAACGAAATGCGGGAAAAGTTAAGAATGACATTAGAAGAGAAAGAATCATCATGCAACAGCGATTAAAAAATCCTCGTTACATTATTTGTTTTGCATATGTGGCATATTTAATTTAATTAATTTTCATTAACATTACATAATTTATTCCTTTTTTCTTAAAATTAATTCCGTTATATTTCACCCACCATTAGCTTATTTTGTTTACTATAAAACTTTAAATGCAATATCAATCGTTATCGTTTGTCTTGTTAATTCCCGTTCTTTTATTGTTCTCTCTCCTTAATAAGATTTTCTTTTTCTCATTTTTTTCTCACACTGTAGTAACCCTTTGTGTCTTAGCGACTTTATTGTCTTCCTTCGGGTGAAATGATTATAGGTTAGTTTAAACTCACACTGAAAGGAATGCGCTTGCCCCTGTCAAGATTGACAATGGGTTTAAAAGCTCTTTAACGTAAAGCAACATCTACGTAAAGCAACGCAATAAACCTAGGGAATATTTATTTTTTACCGAAAGTGTATTGGAATAAACAGCGTGAGAATGCGAAAATAGTTGTAAATAGCATTAAAAGAAATGTTGATAAATCAGTGGGAGCGATACGAAAGGTGGATTGTGTGAACAACATTGGGGGAGGGTAGCAGAAGAAATGTTCAAAAGAACATAAACACAATTTCAGGATTTATAGTTTATATTTAATGCTTGTTTTTTAAATTAGTAAATGGGAATTTTCCTAGTGTTTTATGAAGACGGGAGCATAAATTAATTAATATTACTACTATTAAATTAATAAATATTAATACTTACTCGTTGAATTAGTTATGAGAGACTGGTTTCTCCAGTGCCATAACGACAACTTTATTTCCCGAAAAATAACATGGCATACAAGAGACAAAATGTTAACATCAGATAAAGACTGGAAGGATGAGATAGATAGATAGATAGATAGATAGATAGATAGATAGATAGATAGATAGATATTAATAGAGTGAGATAGATATATATTAATGGACAGATAGATAGATAGATAGATAGATAGATAGATAGATAGATATTAATAGAGTGAGATAGATATATATTAATGGACAGATATATTTATATAGATAGATAGATAGATAGATAGATAGATAGATAGATAGATAGATAGATAGATAGATATTAATAGAGTGAGATAGATATATATTAATGGACAGATAGATAGATAGATAGATAGATAGATAGATAGATAGATAGATAGATATTAATAGAGTGAGATAGATATTAATAAAGATAGACAGATATTAAGAGTGTGATAGATAGATATTGATAGAGTAAGATAGATAAATATTAATAGAGATAGATAGATAGATAGATAGATAGATAGATAGATAGATAGATAGATATTAATGGACAGATATATTTAAATAGATAGATAGATAGATAGATATTAATAGAGTGAGATAGATATTAATAAAGATAGACAAATATTAAGAGTGTGATAGATAGATATTGATAGAGTAAGATAGATAAATATTAATATAGATAGATAGATAGATAGATAGATAGATAGATAGATAGATAGTGAAAATCTTCCATCAAAATTCAGCTAATATCGCCAATCTACGAGACTATTGATCCACCTTCGGGTCTATGTTTGTACATTAAGTTATTCTCTTCTATTATTATTATTATTATTATTATTATTGAAATACAGCTCGCCATTAATGCGACGCAGGGTTACGAATGTACACTCTCGAACAATGGAGAATCTATTGATTATGTCATTAACAAATGCAAATGTCATAAAACGAATTTTAACGTCTTGAGAAATTTGTTCTTTTTTGCGAGGTTTTGTTTTATTTTAAGAAGCAGTAAAATTGTGACGTGTTTACAGTTTTTCTTCAAGGCATTTATTTTCAACCTGAGCCCTTGGCACCATTAAGAACTTTCTTTCTTTCTTTTTAATATCCTGTAGCGTAGATGGAGAAATTAATGGGTTGATTAATGGGCTTTTTTCTTCTTTTTTTTTTCAAAATTACTTTCTGTCTTTTATTTATGGCCAGTGAAAAAAATGGAATTAAATAGTCAAAAAGAAAGTGAAGCAGCCAAGGCATAGATGATTATTTACTTATAGAGTGTTCGCACCAGGTGGCTTACACGTGACGTGTCATCAATAAGAACGAAGGTACGCTGAAAAAAAAAGACAGAGAAAGAGAAGAAGAAGAAAGAAAAGTGTTAGAAGAAGGAAAACGGTTGTGAGGGAGAGAGAAATATAAGAGAAATATTAAGAAAGACAGAAAAGAAAAAAGATCAGCTAAGGGGAAAAAAGGGGGGCAAGACCAGAAAACGTAAGAAAATCAGAAATAAGAAAGAAAAAAACAAAAATAGGAGTAGATGGGTCCGCCTGTCGCCCGGTTCACACTTCCTTCCTCAGCTCTATCGATTCCTCAATTCAAGCTGCTATCCATTACGCCACCGTACCGCCTATATAATATAATATAGTTTTAAGGTATGCCATATTTATGGGTATTTATGAATTAAAGTACTCAATATCATGGATAGAGTGTATGTAAATATAAATATAAAAGTGGTCACTGACATCAGCACACAGAGTCAGTTTCATGCTTGAACGCAGTCTTGCCAGACGATTTCGTTTAGCATGAAACAGACCGTTGTCTCTGGGTGTTGATTTCAATGCCCCCTTATATATATATATATATATATATATATATATATATATATATATATATATATATATTGCTTTTTTGCTAAACCGGGAGTCTTCTGCGGCTGAAAAGTCATAGCACGTCAGGCTATATCGATAGAGCTGAGTTCGAATTCTATTCGGATCCATTGACTAGGGGTAAATAGGAGGACAGACTGGGTTCTATAGCCTTGGTGTGGTTATTTAGTTTTTTTATACAATTTCTCATGCGATATAATCTTTTTTTTTTTTTCGGATGATAAATTATATAAAACCTGTCCAAATGTTCTTTTTATCCGAGCGCTTTCGGCTATACATTTAGCCATTTTCAAGGATTACATATTTTAACTTTTAAATAAGAAATAGCTTGTTGTATGTATGTTTTATAAAATGTTTTCATTTTTCAAAACACGGTCAAGATATTGTGTCCATGTTCAAAGTTAATATTATTATGTGATTTTTTTTTTATTCTATTTCTTATTTAACAGTTAAAATATTTAATTCTTGAAAATGACTAAATGTATAGCCGAAAGCGCTCGGATAAAAAGAATATTCGGACAGTTTTTATATAATTTATCATCCGAAAAGAAAAAAATTATTAGATTGCATGAGAAATTGTATAAAAAAAATGAATAAAAGCACCTGGTCTGTCGTATTCAATGAAATGTACACACACACACACACACACACACACACACACATATATATATATATATATATATATATATATATATATATATATAATGGTACAGTATAATTAATATTATAAAGAAGTAGTTACGCAAAAAATAAATCAGTAAAGTTAATGTAATTAATGGCGAATTCACTTCGTTAACATTTAGTCCATGTCACGTTAACTGAAAAAATACTTCGTGAACTTACGTGAATTCATGAATTGCCACATTATTATATTCAAAACACGTTTTCACTTAAAATATTCAAAATGCAACTTTAGCGTTGCGACACTGCACGCTCCAAAATTATGTAAAACTGATCCACAAAAACAGCTCAATGTATTTATTATAAAAGAGCATATAAATTACACAATAAAATCCCAAATTACCTCATATGGGCAGCAGGGGGTGGGGAATAAATCTATTCCAACCGACGAGAAGTACGTTAGTTTTATTTAACCCCTTTGTACAGACTGTTCGTGTTGGAATTTAAAATTTAACTTTGACAGCAGTCGAAAAATTGATACCGAATTTTCTGTCAAAGTTAAATTTTAAATTTCTAATTCCGACGGGAACACAATCTATACACCGGGGTTGAATAAGACTAACTTCTCGTTGGTTGAAATATAGCCACCCATATTAGGTAATTTTGTATTTTCTTGTGTAATATATATATATATTGTCACGTAGCCACGATTTCATTAACCATATAGACGTTAGGCTAAAAAGCACCCCAAAGTAAAATCTTAAATAAAGAGAAAATTAGTTAGATATAAAAGAAAAATAAATAAATAAATAAAAATAGAAATTTAATCCAATGCTTTCGACTTGCGAGGGAATATATTCTATGATCAGCCATGTCCTCCTTTTCTCTTCACAAATTCTTTTCCTTCTTTATCTACTCTTCCACCCACAAGCCGTGAACTTTGAAGTGACCCGACGCGAGAATGACCTGGTTCCAAGATTTCGCAGCTATCAGGCGTTTGACCATGAGTGAATTCCAGGCACCATCAGGGTCTCCTGCTGCGGGTCACGTGATCAGAACATACTAAGCGTGGATTGAACTTTTGGCCATCACACAAGCACTGCGTGATTTGCGTCCTATCCTCCTGCGTACCCGGTCAAGGACGAAGGGAACGCACGTGACTGTCTTTGGGGACAGCGGAAATCTAAAAAAGGATTTTCAGTTTCCCTCTGACCAGCGGCAGTTGAACGTCGCTGGGCAAAATCCTTAGACTGCCCACCGAGGTGAAGAAGACAGCAAAGTCTGTCGACTAGGAGTGAAAGGACTGCTATGAAACTGATCAACCCAACGAAACGCCTGTACGAGATGCTTTGGACCCTCGAACTTGTGAAAAGAAAAGGAATCCAGGAAAATTGCCGGCCGGCCAAAATGTTGTTTTAGCATCAGAACTCTCGCTTCGGCGAATCAGAACTTTGTGTGAACTCGACTGAAAAATAAGTTGATTCTCTTGGTTTGATCTGTTTTCATATATGTATGTATTTGCTCGCACCTTCTATTCTTTAATGATCTCCTTCCCCTTTGTTAAATGAATGTTCTTTTTTTTTCTTTCTTTATCTCTTTATATATATTTATAAATAAATGCTTTATTTTGAAATCCATCGTCTTGTGTCTGTTCTTCGTTGATTCCCTTGTGTCGCTTCCATTTCTGAGTGAAGACCGAGAAAAGATCCCATGTTTTCCTTTTTTTTAACCCGTGGTTCATCTATATGCTACAAGTTCGTAACATATAAAATTGGGGGCTCGTTCCGAGAATCTTTTCTCCCTGTTTTTTCACTCAGTAAGAATCGCACAGCTTCAGGGTATCGGCGAACTACAGGCCAAGATGTCGGTTATAGATAGCTTTCTAGCATCACCCTCTATGGAGAAATTATGTAAACTTAAAAAAGATGACATAATTGAAATAGGGAAGGGATTAGAACTAGAGTTAACGAAGTCTATGAGAAAAACTCAGCTAGTCAGGATAGTCTCTGAACATATGGTAGATAACGACGTTTTCGAAGTAGAAGAATTATGTCAATTATCACTAGACACGTCGGAACTTTTCGCAGGCACAACTCGAGCTCGAGAAAGTGAAAATTGAGGCCGAGGCTAAGGTCAGAGCCGAAGCCGAAAGAGCAAAAGCTGAAATCATAAAGGCTAGAATCGAGCAAGAAACTCGATTTCGGGAGTTAGACGAAAAGCGGGAACTTCACGAATCTAGAAGTAGTGAGTTCGACTTAGCGAAGCAGGTCCGACTCGTACCGCAGTTTAACGAGGCTGATGTCGACAAGTATTTCCAGCATTTCGAAAAGGTCGCCTCAAACCTAGCATGGCCCATAGAAACGTGGCCAATTTTACTGCAGACCGCATTAAAAGGCAAAGCCCAAGAAGCGTACGCCGCGCTCTCAGTAGCAGATTGCGCTGAATATAGCATTGTGAAATCAGCCATTTTAAAGTCGTATGAGCTAGTGCCGGAGGCATACCGGCAAAAATTTAGAGCCTGCCGAAAGGGAGACAAACAAACGTATGTAGAGTTTTCGAGACAGAGAGAAACCTATTTCGAAAAACATCGAGGCAGATCACGATAGGCTAAGGCAAATGATCCTGATAAAGGAGTTCAAAGAATGTGTCCCTGATAATTTAAAAACCTACCTCGATGAAAAAAGGGTAGATATATTATATGAGATGGCCACCCTCGCTGACGTATACGCGTTAACACATAAGCGGGGTACATTCAATCATAACAACCCACCCGAGTTTGGAAGCGGTCCACACCCAAGACGTGGGTCTGGTTCTGGTCCGAATTCGAAGTTTGATCGATCGGTTAGTTCAGGCCAACCACCCAGGCCGAGAGATACCAAATCTCAAAATCCTAGTCCTCAGCCACCGGTTTATCGGCAGACGAATAGGAGAGAGAGGAAACTCCCGATGTGCCACTACTGCAATAAAGTAGGACACCTATGGACGAAGCGGAATGCCGAGTCCAGAGCCCTGAGAAAGCATGGGAATTCATGAAGAAAGGGATTATCAATGATCAGGAATTACTGATATTAGGCACTTAGATGATTATGAGTGCAGACAATGCTAGGATCTTTTTCCATTTATTAAATATGATCAGAATTGGTGCTAACACATTGTGTTGCTGATAGTAACATTTTTTCACTGTTAAATATTTTTGATAATAATGGACTCAATAATTGAAACCTGACGACTAGAAATTATTTCCCTTAGATATCAACAAATATATAAAATACACTTAAACATCCAAGGGAGATAAATCGGCAAGTATCTTACTCTAAAAAATTACTAACTTGAATTAATTTGTTTCAGTATTAGACAGTACATTAATACTGAAGAATTCTGTGCCTTTTATAGGCCTTAGGAAATCATTCTGATTTTCAGTGGATATCACATATTTTATCTGCCTATAAACGTAATGAATGCAGCAAATATAACATTTACCATTATCTGTGTAAGATTATGTCTTATGTATATGTATACATTTTTAATTAAATTTCATGTATCTGTGTCATCTGTATATTTAATTTGTACATACTATTCACTTATGAGTTGTTTGCCCTCATCAGCTGGAACTGATACATGATTTTTGGCGAACTGTTTTCAGAAAGACTAAGGTGACCAGGCCAAAATGCAAATGGTGCCATCTAGTGTACAACTAACGTGTTTTCCAATAACTTGGACCGATTTTAAATGTGAATTAAGTTGAAGCGTCTAATGTTTTTTTTTTTTTCTTTCAAATTTTGTAGTACATTTGGGCGATATTATTTTTCATACATAATTACCACGACTTAAATAACATGATCCTATAGAGAAATAAATAAATTTTTGACTAATAATAGTGATTTATTTACTGTTGATTTTGATCCGTCTTAATGAAACACCCTTTATGTGAAGCTAAGTTCAGAATAGAAACCAGAGGAGGAGACTTGGAAGACTTCTATTGATGAGAAAAAAAGGATGACACAAAGAAAATGAAAGAAAACTCCTCCCCGGTATTTTGAACAGAGATAGAGACTTATCCCTTGTTTCCACTTTAGGAATGTGTTTCCGGTTCCTTCCAAAGTCTTTTCATTCTCTTTCACTTCCGGTAGCCCCCCTGCGTTTTAGTGGCATTATCACCTTGCTTGGGGTGAATTGATTAAAAACAGATAGGTACAGACACGTAAACATCTACTAAATTATGTTATGTAATTACACGTGATGAAGGAATGTTTATTCTTGATTCTAACAATAGAGGGCGGGTTCTGGAGGGTTGTATATATAATGTTACGCAAAAGTAAGTGAATCCCCTAAGATAATATTAAAAACATTTGTCCTTTTTTGTTTGATAATCAACAAGTCTTAATTAAACTACATATTCATTAAGATAAAAATCTTCAGTAAACGAAGTACAACAACTTTCAAAAAAATTATCAAGCTGGAATAAAAACATTAATTAAAAATTAAGATGTGCAAAAATAAGTTAACCCTTCCATTTAATATTTGGGGATTCCTTTTTTGAGGTCAGGATGTCGATCAGTCTGACCTAAACCCAATTGAAAATATGGGTTCAACTTCAAGCAATACATGTAAGAAACTCAGATAATATCAAGCAATTTTGGGAGTTTTGCCAAAAAGAATGATCAAAGAATTGATGTTCACAACTACCAGAAATTTCTTAAGAAGTATAAAAAAAGACTTTAAAATTTGTTGATTTTCTGGCAAAAAAGAGGCATTTTTTTTTATATATTATCTTAGGGTTTCACTTACTTTCCCGCAGCATTGTATGTGCGTTTACAGTCGCTAGAAGTTTTTTTAATGTCGACAACTCTGAAGAAATAGCATTAAAATAAGGAGATGATGCTAACCAAATTCTTTCTTCCGTATAAAAAAAAAAAAGAAAAACACTTCAACGTAAAATAGAAAGAGAACGATTTTAAGTATACGGGGTACCTGTGCAGTCAATAATGAACACCCACGTTGTGACTCCAGGCTTCATGGTAAGTTTGGCATTCTCGATCAAGTAAGTCACGTGTCTGATCGAGTCGTCGACTGTGATTTTTCGTGCTGTCGTCTGCGTAAAACTGGAATAAATGACTGGCCTTCCTAATTCGTCAAATCCAACTTGTCTCTAAAATCAAAAATAAACGAGAAAGAAAAAGAAAGAAAATGCTAAATATTTTGCAATTAATTCACTTACGATTTATGAATTTCATTTACGATTTTTTTTTATTTAATTCCTATTATTATTTTATTACTAATTGTATTCCGTTTTTATTGTTGTTGCTTTTTATCTCAACACTCTGAATCAATCACTTTCCCACCACCGTAATGTACCTTTTCTGCGCTTTTTCTAGAAATACTTTAAGATAATTGTCCGGTTGAACTCTCCTCTATAATAAAACTACTCATTGGAGTTAGTTTTTAAATTATTGTTTCATTCCCCACCCCGAAGACAATGAATTGTAAATATGGGGACTAGTTAGGATTTTCATAGAGACAATGAGGTATTATGGTGGATGTAGTGAGAATAAGAATGTGTTGTTTTGGTGTTAGGAATATTGTTGTATGTTTGGGTCAGTGTTTGTAGCTAGCTAAGTTTAAAGTTAAGACAGATGAAGATCGTCCTTTTCCACCATTCCCCTTGTTTGGCCTTGTACCACATTTTCTGTATTTGAAGTGGAAATAAATATCACTCTCCTCTGTGATACCTAGACTTTATGAATTTAAGCACAGTATTAGATTGGCAAGAAGGCCTCATCAATTTACAGTCTATTTGAATAGATATAACCGGAAGTTATACGCTAACAGTTTATTTTCTTGTACTTCTCATTCATGGAACTCTCTTCCAGCTCCATGCTTTCCAGCCAACTTTGATCTTCAAAAATTTAAAAGCCATGTTAATTGTTGTCTTCCTGATTACTCTTCTATTGCTCTCGCTCCTTAATTATGTTTCTCTTTTTATACTTTCACATTCAGTAACCCTTGTACCTTAGTGGCTTTGCTGCCTTGTAAGGGGTGACATGATTAAAAAACATATACACTTCGTTATTACTTTTATTTATTACTACCTAGGATGGCCCGCCCTTGTGTATGCGGCATGGTCTTAGCCGTAAATGTCTGAACTGGTTGAGTTAGGGAATTATACCACCAAAACATTTTCCATGGAAATAGCGGTAGAGCAAAGAGACGCTTGTAATGTTCTATCTGTAAGAGAGGGGTAGTGGGGGGGGAATGAATCCATTCCCTACAAGGCTACGTTAACGTTTTTGAATTGTGCTGAAAATGAAAAGAGATGATTGGGGGGAGCTCCAACTTAAATATGGCAGCATTATTCCGTTATTCCAATTTTTATTTGTAGTCAATTTCTTATTTCTTGAAATACAGTCATTAAAATTAATCAAAAAAAAAATAAAATAAAATAAAATAAATCTGACCATTGAATGATATCCAGGTTGCTCATGACACCATTTACAATCAACGTCCAGAGGTTGCAATGTTCGGCGATAGTCAATTGTGGCCTTTAACGCCTTTTCGGCCACATCTATATTCCAGTCTCGAGCTTTCAGAAAACGGCACAGTCTGTGGAAAAAAGAAGATAAACTATTTGATTTTCATTATGGCTAATAGTATAAGATGTATAAGGCGTATAATATACGGGACTCGAAACAATACTGAAAGCCACTGGACGAGCCTAAATCGTTTTAAACACATGCAGAAGACCGTACAAACTGGCGATGTTCCATCACCATTGGAACTAAAAACTTCGAAGACACCGGAAGAGAAAAGGAAGAAGTCAATGGAGAAGAGACAAAGTCTCGATAAAATCAATCTCATCCTTCACCAACATTACAATGCAGTCAATAACATCGGATCTTCCATGCAAGAATTGGCCTGCTTAGTCATCGACGCTATCATAAAGGAAGCGATCAGCAAAGAAGAAATTAAATTCTAAGATACGACAGCTGACCGCCGACGACAGGAAAGCCGCGCTGCCTTTAGATCGCGCGCTGACAGAACTTATTCACCGTTCTCTTGATGGCTCTTGAATGGACTTTGAAGACTGAAGCCAGAATATTAATGTTGTTACCATTACTGAAGACCTGTATGATCTTTTTCCTCTCACCATTGCTCAGTTGAAAAAGACATAGTGGGGCTGACACAAAACGAATTTAACCTGTTCTCTTTCTAGCTACATAAATCAAACGGATTTTCAGTAATTCTTACGACAAATGGTGCCAACATCTTATCTGAAAACCTGGAAAAAAGAAACTCAATTAGTTGAGTGTTTTTTTAAATTAAATTCTTAGATACGACAGCTGGCCGCCGACGACAGGAAAGACGCGCCGTCGCATGAACCACACTGCCTTTAGGTCGCGCGCCGTAAAAACGACCCGACGCCGCAGACGATGACACTCGCGAGACCTCCGCACCTCCTCGGCAACCCGACAAATAACAGACGAAAAGAAGTCATATTCTAGAATGTAATAATAATCCTAGAAACTTTTAGTAGACTTTTTTTTAATAAAACAACATTTTCTTAAGAAGAGGAGTTATCATTATTTACACTATTTGGTCACTAGCTAAACATTGGTCAGGTAAATATTTGTGTCTATATAACATTGGTCCGGCTTGTACTTCGGTATAAACCCGACTAATGTTTGCATATAGATCCAGGTATTAAAAAAATGACATAGATTTCAGGGTAAATAGCCCACTAAGTGTTGATATGCCGTGAAGTTCATCAACCCTATCGACATTTGAACCATCGTGCCAAATAAAGGTATGCAGCGCTCTGGTTAACGAGCTAGTTTGGAAAGAATATAACTGTTGTGTACCGCATGTAACAAAAAATTGACTAACAGCAAAATTATCCAATTGTTAGATTAAGCTTTGAACCATTGTATCTAAGAAACGATTAAAGATATCTTACTGGAATTCATCCAGGTTTTTATAACACTATTGATCTCTACTTTGAGCAATAAGAATGTATAATTAATCTCCAAACTTAACAGAAGTATCGTGATGAAACCGATCATAAACGAAAATGACATGTTCATCATTAATTAATCATTACTAAGTATCGAAAGCTCATGAAGGATTGAAATAAAGTTCAAATATATCATTTTCCAACTTATTCAAGATGATCTTCGCCCTCTCTAACCTTCTAACTTTCTGTCTTGGAGTAACAATGTGCCTCATAGGTTTCACGTACAATTTGATTTTCAAGTCTTTTTACACTGCCCTTTGAACTGTCATAGAGGAAACTCCTCTCTCACGTGCCAAACGTCTTATGGGTTGAGCTGGATCTTTTCTAATTGATCTCTAAGTTGAAATGATGATCACTGTTGCTGTTGTGACCTCCTAATCCAGTTTTCATCAGTGATTCTTACGACAAATGGTGTTAAGATGGCTAAACATCTTATCCGAAAAGCCGGAAAAAAGAAACTCAATTAGTTGAGTGGTTTTTTTAGATATTAAACATTTTTGGGAATGAACAATTACGCTGTTACACGATTTAGACAATTTTGCTGTTACACTCGGTATTGCGTGTTTTTCAAATGTATTGTAGTAAAGTAAGCTTAATAAACCATAAAGTTGGCGCAATACAATCTTTCTATCCTTATTTGATCTTCTACTTTAAAGAGATTAGCTTAGTAAATTTTATTAGCTTGTTTTGCGGTGGATCTGCTTGTGTTTCTCTGATGGTGCCATGGGTGGGTGTTCAAGCACAAGCAAAGGCAAACGAACTCTGCTCGCTTGAGAGTTTGATACAGTTTTTTGCTTTTCAATGTCTTCTAGTACACTGACCTAAGTAAATATCGTAAAATTCGTTTTTATCAACTGATAATCTCTTTTATTTCTCTTATATCGTTACCAGTTTTGATTGGTTAAAAAATAGAGATTGTTACTTCTGCTTTTGTGTAACAGACCAGTGGAGACTTGCTTCGCTTAAAAGCGAAACCTAATCCTGGAGTTGAGAAGAGAAAAAAAAAAGGAGTCCCATCAATAGCGACAAACAAACGCAATTGATGGATATAAGATTTCAATCGGCAGTCACGTTTTGGAAGTTTAGTAGTAATTAGAGTCAACCTTGGGCAAATTTGATTCTATCCGTTGGGACGTAAAAGTGTCAGTCCAATTCACATGGACACAGCCAACAACAATAGATGGATGCGTCAGTAGAAAATCCACAAACACAGACAGACACACACACACACGAAATGCTACCCGAAGCCTCAGAGAAATTGACTACAGACAGAAATTTACACATCGTTAAGTTCCTCTTTCGAAGTAATCCCTTGTCTGATTTTTGCATACTGACTCGTACGAGTAACACTTAAAAAAGATAGCGGCAAAGTCTGTGCTACATTGTGACGCACGATCTGTTTACTTACCCGGAGGTTTTCTGTAGACTCACTTCTCTCTCTCTCACACAGCCACATAGACACGTGTGTGTGTGTGTGTGTGTGTGTGTGTGTGTGTGTGTGTGTGTATTTCATTTTGGAAATAATATATATCAGATCAATTAAATGACTGATTATATATATATATATATATATATGTTGACAACACTAATATAATAGCATCATCTACATGCAAAAAAAAAGCTAAAAATAATGAAAGCCTTATTCATGAAAACAAAAAAAAAGACACTTAATAATATTAACAATGAACATGGACACAATATCTTGACCGTGTTTTGAAAAATGAAAACATTTTATAAAACATGCAACAAACTATTTCTTATTTAACAGTTAAAATATTTAATCCTTGAAAATGGCTAAATGTATAGCCGAAAGCGCTCGGATAAAAAGAACATTCGGACAGTTTTTATATAATTTATCATCTGAAAAGAAAAAAATATTAGATCGCATGAGAAATTGTATAAAAACTAAATAAAAGCACCTTGTCTGTCGTATTCAATGAAATATATATATATATATATATATATATATATATATATTTATTAAAGACATATTTTATGTTTAACGTTGTTATTTTATAGATACAAGTATTTAAGCAAATGCTCTGTTTTATGATAAACAGTATTAAATAACATTTACCGGCCTGAATGTCCGAGAAATTTTCATAGAAAATTTTCCTTCTTTGACAGGATTCAACCTGCATCCTATACGGAACCGTCATATACGCTGACGTGCCTTACCGCTTAGGCTAAGAACGAAAAATTTCGGTAAACAAGGTCTAAGCGGTAAATGTTATTTAATACGTTTATCATAAAACAGAGCCGTTGCTTAAATGCTTCAATCTATAAAATAACAACGTTAAACATAAAATATGTCTTTAATAAATAAATTGTCGGACCTTGTCCATTTCTTAATATATATATATATATATATATGTGTGTGTGTGTGTGTGTGTGTGTGTATGTGTGTGTTAAAATAATAGGGAAGAACAGTGAGATTTATAATCTTAAGTTCTTAGCATTTATTTCTATTTTTAAAAAAACAGTGCTCGATACGACAGTAGAGCATAATATTATAATTATTTTTTTTTATTTTTGAGAGAAAACATACTTTTTTAAAATTATTATTATTATTATATATATATATATATATATATATATATATATATATATATATATATATATTCAGTTGTATAGATATGAGTTTCACGCTTTTGCGATCATCAGACAAGCTCGTGTCAACCAGTGTTTTTACAAGCTCATGTCCATACATCTGAATATGTTAGCTCTATCACTGATATTGAGCAATGTATAATAAGTACTGCACATATAAAATAATATACATATAGAAATAAAATGTAAATATATTCTATATATATATATATATATATATATATATATATATCGCATTGGAATCATATTTTTTAAAAATAATTATATATATATATATATATATATATATATATATATATTATTGGTCAAAATCGGTTGGATGGATCTCGAGTAAAAAGGTATCACACAGAGACACAGATATCCTGTTTATATATATAGATTAGAGATGAGGAGAACAGATACTACACTTTTTAGTAGATGTGTAGAAGCTGCGTGTTGCAGAAAATGTTTACCGACAATTGCCATTCAAAATGGTGATGTTCTATTTTTAGCCGGTTAAAATAAGATAATATTGAAAACCTTATAAAACTGTTTTTGGTCACTTGATATTTCCGTGGTGGATCTGTTCCAAGTTCCAAACGATTACGGGAACCAAAATGTCGGCCATAATTATTGATTAGTGCTTTCTACATTCGAAATATTACGTTTCGCTCACGCTTTCTTTTCTTTTCTTTTTCGTTGTTCTTTTTCCAGTACGACACAAGGCCATTCCCGAATAAATGCAGTTCGAGGAAACTATATGAACGACTTTATTCCAAGTAAAGGAAATATTTTACGTACAAAATAAGCATACGAAATCCAACTTTTACCGAGGTTAGGAAACTGACTTTTGGTACTGGTGGAATAATACACGACTATCTAAGACACAACGCAGTTTTTTTTTCTCTCTCTCTCTCTCTCTCTCTCTCTCTCTCTCTCTCTCTCTCTCTCTCTCTCTTTTCTTTCCATCACTATCTACTTTTTTCTTTCTTTCATCTTTTTCTTTCGTTTTCTCTCACTACATCTTTCTATATTTCTTCGAATCAAGTTTTTTCGCCCTCGTTTCTTATCGCCTTTCTTTCTCCCCGACCCTTCCCTCTCTTTATTTCTCCTCCTTTATTTCGCCTTCATTTCTTCCTTTCACCTTATTTTCCCCCCTCTCTATCTCTCTCTCTCTCTCTTTATTTCAATTATCTCTCTCACTCTTTCCTCTCTTATTTTCTCTTCCCTCAGTTTTTCTTTCCTTCACACTGCTCTTTCTTTCTTTCTTTTAATTTCGCCTACTTTCTCTCTAATGTTCATTCTCTCTTTCACTTTTACATTAACTAACACTTGCTTTCTATGTCCTCTTCTATTTCCCTCCATCTCTTTCTTTCTCATTTTCTCTCTCTCTCTCTCTCTCTCTCTCTCTCTCTCTTTAGTCCGTTCTTTTTTTTTCTAGCTACCTATTCTTTCTCCTTATTTCAACTTCTTCCTCGACATTATATATATTTTCTCCTCTCCTATTTATTCCCCCCCTCTCTCTCTCTCTCTCTCTCCCTCCCTCCCTGAATGCATATGTAAGTGTGCATGTTCACGTGGATGAATATCTAACCCTTCAAAATTATTTCTGTATTCGTCTTTGCATCCGTTTGAAATGTGTCTGTGTATTTGCATGTCCAGTCGTTCATGAAAGCATACTCATGTGCGCATGCCCGTTTGCGTGTAGCGGGCGCGAAAACGCCTTATGATAAGCTCATAAAAAAAATAAAACCATCAGAGTGGAATCCATTCTTTCTTTTGATAGATTTTTATTGAAAAACAACTTCGTCTTACGCGGAAATTTCGCAATAATTAAGGGGTCTATTTCGTTTTAAGGTAAATAAACATTATTTAATAACGACAATATTTTGGAT